GCTGTTTGGCGTTGTGGAAATAACGGAGTGTGTTTTAAAATAAGAGAATCTGGCAAAGAAGGACTAGCAGTTGTTGTCGAAACATGTTATTATATAGTAAGTTTTTTATTGCAAGACCAATTACAAGATTATGGGCACTTCAATGATTGGAAGCTTTTCATCAAGAGGAATTATGCATGAAGTTATATGACCAACCAGAAACTCACGTAGTGACAAAATTTCCAAAGGTGAGTGGATCTGGAGCTCTAATCCTGATTTCACAGGGTCTGACTGACGGGAAAATTAACCAATCAGAGAGACATGTGCTCAGTTTGTGTCAAAAACAAGCTTGGCTACTTACATAACACGACATAAAGGCAATTGAAGCACCAAACTACTGTTTATGTCTGGCATAAGAACCTATATATTTAGTTCTGAAATGTTATGAGAATTTAGCATATTTGCATTCTGAATTGAAGAGACATATGCTGCAAATTAGCAGCTGTGGTTAGACTGTCTCTGGTTAGGATAGAGCAGTGTTTTCCAAACTTTTTTTCTGGGGACCCATATTTTAAAAGTCACAAACCTTCGCCACCCAAGTCAATAGACATTATTCATAATCACAAAATAAAGGTGGATGTGACCATTATTCAGCATTAAACAGGATATTTTATTGTTGACTGAGTGATCGTGTCTCTCTGAACAATTAGTATTATTCAAGTTTTAAGCAATGAAAAACAGTAATTGAACTAACAATAAAAGGATCCATAAGTCGTCTATTTGGGCATTAAATACAGCCCATTTCTTGTTCTTTTCAATATTCAGTTGAACCAGCAACACTGGAACAAAATAGTCAGTAAAATAAATACAAAATAATTAGAAATTATACAAAATATGTATTAACATATCAGCATTTCTAATGAGATAGATGGGCCTGTCGGCGTTTTTGTAGCGCATTCCAGTCGGGGGTGCAGGAGGAGAGCTCAACACTCAGATCAGGTGTATATCAGGCGACCCAAAAAAAAATCTCTTGGGTCACGACCCTGTCTTTGGGAAACAATGGGATTTTCAGCCTCTATTGTACAGTTCCAGTTCCTTCTGGATTCAGACAGAATGTAGAAGGGACTGGCTCGTCAGGCAGTAGACTTATACTTATATTGGAGAGAGATGTTTTCCATATAGCTACCATACTTTGCTTTTGGCACTCCAACACACCACATCATCCCTGCACACATCACATTGGCCATTAACTGAACTCTTGTGGGGTTAGCTATAGTATTTTGGCTCTATCCAGCAATGCCACAGAATCTCCAGTTCCCACTGAAATCCAATTGACATGTGTCCAGGCGAAGAAAAATCCATAAAAGAAACAGGGAGATTATTGGTCCTTCTGCAGGATTCGTCAGCTGTTTGGCGTTGTGGAAATAACTGCGTAAGGGAGTGTGTTTTTAAAATAGCGGCAGACTAGCCAAAGACATGGTCCGTGAACTGTGACTGTCAGGGATCCTTGTGAAATGCTGTCACACAATTTTCCCCTCCAATTTCCCATATGTTTTAGACGGGAATATTGAAGATCAGTTAAAATCCTCTTGAGAGTGACCTCACACAGCATGGGGCTAAGGAGCAGCATTCCCAGACATTTGTAGCATGTGTAAAACAAGTTTAAAATGGGGAAATAAGAAGGATTACCAAAAAAAATCATAACCACATTGGGAAGATTAAATTGCCTTATTAAAAATTCCATCATCTTTCTAATTGTCTTTCATTCAAGACAGGGGCTCATTTTAGTGAATAATTAAATCTTCAGACTCAAACGTGAAACAACCAAAGTAATGAAAACCATCCTTTCACTAGTGCTTCTATCAGTTGTAGTGTTTCTTTTTTAAGAGTAGTGGATTTACTCTGAAAAGTGTCAGTGTGGTGAGAAATGATGATTACCACAGCAGTAGAAAGGTGAATCTTGGTCAGCATTTTCCAAAAGGGTGAAGGGGAGAGGACCCGTGTTTGTGGTGTGTAATGTTTTTTTTTTTTTTTAAACTTAAGTCTCTCCTCCACTGCTGTAAAAGTAGGCTGTGGTGAGGCATTCTGGGATAATGATGTCATCTGAAAAATAAACAGATTTAACTAGAAGCACTTGGAGAGCAGAGACATTGATCCTATCTTTCCCTGCAATAGAACTTGGGAGTTGAACAAGGGGTCTTCAGAGGTGGAATGTAACTAGATATGTTTACTTAAGTAATTTAATTAGGGGTCAGTGACCTAGCAGGACCCAGACTACCACACCCTTCATAATGCAACCCTCCAATCTCTCACTCACCCTCACCCACTTGGCTCAAGTGCAGTATTTTTAATCACAGGGGCTATGTTATATTTGGGTGGCACTGGCGCAATGGTTAAAGAGCTCATACACCTACACAAAGGTCATCCGTTTGAACAATGCTTAGATCAGTGCATATTGTCCTTGAGCGAGACACTCACCTTGCCTGTGTATGAATGTAGGTCTTTCACAATAATACTACTCCATAAACTTATCATACAATATATGAAAGCTGGAATTATACTTTTTTGTGTGTGAACTATTTCTTTCACTACTGGAATTGAAACTGAATTTCTGGTTATTTTTTTGGCTTTACAATAAGATTTAAAGTGTTTTATGTGACAGTCCGAAGTGTTGGAGACGTGTGGAGACACTTTTTAAAATATTCCATCCAATCCTTCTATTTGCAGAGGTCACTGGTGCTAGGCTAGTGCATGTCAATGGCCATAGCTAGTCTGTCAATAAAAAGACTCCACAAAGCACCAGAAACAAATCTATTATTACACAGGCATGTCGATGTAAATGTCTGTGTGGGTAGAATGATGTTTGAAAAAAAACTAAACTTACATTGCTTGATTCGTCGCATGTTGAGGGACTATTTTCCGCAGTCCGCTGCTACCAAGCTTTCTATCAGGAAGTACAATTCACTGCTGCTGCTCAGACATAAATCCTTCACATGCAAGTTTGGTTTTACTTCTAAAATTATTCTATTGACATCAACAGTCTTATAATAGATTTGCTTCAGGTGCTTTGTGAAGTGGGTGGTAAGTTTTTAGTGGCAGGCTAACTATGGTCATTAACATGCACTAGTCTAGCACCAGCGACCTCTGCAAATACAAGAACTGGATAGAATATTTTATAAAGTGTCTCCACACATCTCCGACACTCTGGCTAACTAGGAAATGAGGTCCTATGTCCAAAAGTCCGAACTGTCCCTTTAAAAGGTTTGAATTAAAGTAATAAACTTTCATTCTGCTACTTCTGGGTTTCAATATTATTGTTTATTGTCTATATATTTATATCAGCTATATATTGTACTTCAAAATTTGTTATAATGATTATCAGGCCTATATGAATGTAGTGTATGAGTGAGGGTTGGAGGGTCAGAGGGGTCACCTTGCTTCAGTCAGTCTACTCCTGGGCAGCTGTAGCAGAATTGACCATGAAATTGTTAAGAATGGTGCTTTATATAAGACACTTGTAATGCGCCACAGTTAATACATTCTAATTATATCTGTTACAGCATTGTCTGTATCTTCTGAACCTATTTTCTGAGTTTATTGCATACCTTAGGGGCAAATGCTCAATCTCATGACTAAGCTCTTATCTTTGACATGTGCTCATTATAATAATATGCTTCCCCACAGAGCCCTTTAGTTTGGAGTCACTATCTTTGGCTCAAACTTGCAATTTCACAACGCATCGATGTACTCATACCTAATTATGTGTTAGTGTGTGCATCAACCAGAGATGTGATATACAATAGCTACTTGTTTTTTTCCAAATTGCTCTTCTAATTAAGACACCTTGTGGTATATGTGGTTGGATTATAAGATCTCACATGCTCGGGAAGGCGGATGACTACCTCTGTTCACCGCTGGCTCTCCGGGATATTACTAACCACATACAAGAGCCCAAGGCATTTACACTGTGAATCAGACACATAAAATGAATGATTAACAGGCTTTAGTAGAAAGCCATTGTCATCGGGGCTTAGCTGGCATCTCTGTACCAGTGGGATACGACTATAGCTTGAGTCAGATTGTAGGGCACTGATGTCGTCACTGTATGAATAATGAAAATGTGAGTCTCAAGGGGGCGCTGTGGCTCACATGGGGTTTGGCTGTTACCTAAGACAGAGCTGCTCCAAGTGTGATATAACTGTGAGTCATGGTGATGTCTACTGTGAAGGAACTTCATTAGTGGCTCCATGTGCTAGAGCTTTAGTATGTTCATTATTGTTGTATTATGTAGGCCTATTGACTTAACCATAATGACTTTTAATCTTATTTACAGTCTTAAGGATGTAAGAGAACTAGTAATTTAGTTGTTGTTATGTTTATCATTCCTACTAGTATAGCTACAGCCTGTACTTCACAACTACCCACTTTGCAGTTGTTTTATTACTCAAAAAGCACACGTAGACAATGTCTCTGTCTATATATCTGAAAAATTGTATACATATTTAAGTTATATGAAAATGTACATTTAATCAATTGAGTGGAAGATGTTTTGTCATCTTCTTTTTTTCACTTTCTGATTTTAAATTGTGATGTTAAACCCCATGATCTGACTAACCAAATCTGCCACTTTTTCAAGACAGTATTACGTTGTGAAAGAGACTTGTGAAAGAGATAACAAAAGTTCAAGTTTAAATAAAAGAAGTTATCCTTAAAGGTCTTGTGATGAAACAGCCCTGATGCGTGCTCACCTCGTGCCTGATCTACAGCAGCCACTTCCTGCTGCACGCCCGCCGTCTTCCTTCCTCCTGAATGACAATGCTTCCTTGTTTATCCTGTTGCCGTAAAAACACAATCAAGCGCGAGTCAACACTGAACGACTCCCAACAAGCAGGATTATTGCTCTAATTAAGCTTTAATAAGCCCTTATTAAATGGCCGCCGGCCTCGTTAGGCGCTTCATTAAGTCATTTCATCCTTTTATTCGTTCATTAAGTCTTGTCTTCTTCTTGCCTTTCTTCTCAGGGCATGTGGGAGTGGAGAGGTCTGGGAGATCATGACCTTAATTCTCTCCAAGACAGACGGTTTAATTAACAGCAGAGAAATCCTCACTGACTTCCCAGCTCCACCGTCAAAATGTACGCAGAATGAAGTGCAAAGGTATGGGACTAAGGTAATGTGTTTCATAGCCACTAGATGCTAATAGCCTATGATATTACTACCTTTTGGATTTATGATCTAATTAAACTGCAATTTAATATGCAGCCAAACATACCCAAATAACCATTAATGCCTTATGGGTAATCAGACTTTCTCATCTGCAAGTCCACAGAAATAAATTTGATATTTCCAATGAGGCCTACTTGCAGTTTGGGTGTTGCAGTAGAACGTCTCTGCTTTTTCATTTCAAAACAGTAAATCTGTTTCATTAGTTAGTAGCATTTTGTGACAGTTATATTGCTGTACTTTTATAATTACTATTCATCTAAGAAAGTTGTTTTTAAATTAAAGTACTTCTTTAATTGAAGCACTGTTATTGCTACTGTATGTCTACTACAAGTTTTAATGGACCCGCTACTAACCCTTATTTTCCACTGGAGTGTGCTGAAGGTACAACCGACTTTTATTCAGCTATTATCACTATATTTATTGCTAATACTTCATGGCCAAAGTTAAATATACTTTGTTAAAATGAAAAAGTAGTATTTTCTTTATGTATTTTTCCACTATTTGTACAAACCCACATTCCAGGTTGTAGATAACCTTTTAGATCTTCCCTTCGCTGTTAGCTGTCAACACCCCCACATATAATTTCCCCTTAACTACAGAAAATATTGACTCTGAAGTTGGAATTACAGTTGGTTTATCAGAAAAATATAAACCAGCCCAAGTGAAAGCCCTGTATAAAAAGGCCACACACATGCAGTTACACCGGAGATGTATTTTCTTTCCAAGCCGTTTTAAAATTGGAACATAAAAGAAAAAGCAGCACACTTTGAGGTGAAATGTTGTTACTTGCACAGCTCAGAGGGCAAAGAGTGCAGCTAGCAACACCTGCACAAGTGCATGTGTGTGCGTGGGGATTTCCAGAGCTGTGTGCGCTGTTTAGAGCCTGTGAACCCTGCTCCGAGACCGTCTTCCCTTCATCATGTGCCAGCAGACTACATGTTACAAACAGTTAGCTTTAGCCATGTAAAGAAAGTCGTGCCCAGAGGGAGGCACAGGCAACAGGTGACTAATGGCTTTAACACAATGCAGGATCACGGGAGAGTTTCACATTACTCAGCAGCAGAGGTGGATAGTAACTACATTTACTGCTTTATGTAATGTGAACTCACTGGGTGGATTTTGTTAACCACATTTTTTCAGTTTTGAAATTAATACAGCTCAGAGTATACTGTTACGTTTAGACCATATGCTGATCACCCCCAGTGGCAGAGGAAGTAAAAAAATAAATATGTATGAAATGGTTAAAGCAGTAAAACAGTTCCCTTCAGTGCTAAAAATGTTCATAATAAATATTGTAAAGTGTGAAGAGTGGGGAGAGACATTCGGGCATTTATTGTCAGTAGGGGTGTTACAATATCCCACTTTCATGATTTGATATTGTCACGGTATGAACTTCATGGTACGATGTTTATTGTGATATTTTGTGGAGGCTAAAAAAACTGTTGACATGCTACTTTTTCCTCTTAAAATGCCTTGACAAGACTTAATCCAAAATTTAAGCAAAGAGACTTGCAATATGATATATTGTGATGGTCCACGATATTATTGTGAGAACTTTGACGATATGATATAACAATATTTCAGTTATTGTTACATCCCTAATTGGCAGACTTTGATCTTGTATACTATAGCTTGTATGTGATGCAGCCTAAACCCATATTGTGTTGTTCTTTCATTAATTTAATACTTACATTGTAACATTTGCACCTCCTGTACAGTTATAGTTTCTTGTAGTACTAAAATAATACTTGTACCAGACTTAGATTTTCCATCAAAACTTCCAAAAGAAACTTTGCGTAGTTCTTGAGCACTTTGTTACTCCGTGTACAACAAAGCTCCACGCTGATACCATTGTGTACCTGACAGGGCATGTAATAATAACCCAGTGCATGTTTGTTGCATATGTGGTGTTTATTAGTGCGCTGGCTCCTGCTGAGGGGACAGATGTTTGGGGGACGTATGGGCACACATGTCCACATTAATCCACTTATGAGTGCGTGTGTGTATTACAGCCAGCCCTGTCTCCATAAAGTGGGAAAAGTTGTCCTTCACCTATTTCCCTTGTGGCCAAGTATATGTTTGTGTGCATTGACATGATTTACTGCAGGTACTCCAAGACTTCCACCCTCGGCCATAAAATGATTGAATTTCCTGAAGCTTTAGCAGATGTCCAAACCACAGGATCCTCTCCAGCTCTTTCTTTCTTTGGGAATTTCTGTCAATGTGTATTCTTGTCTTCTTCTTTTAAATGTCATTTTGGCTCAGTGTTCCAAAAGGATTATTTAAATAGTCCAAGCCAGTCCTCTATATACATAAATACACCCACACATTTACATAATATACAATGCGCTGGGTACAGTATACAGGGACAGTTGGTTGGGGTTGACAGAGGATGCCGTAAATGCGCACCCACACACAGTTTAAATATCACATAGAGGTGCTGGCTGTGACATGATGTGAAAAAAATGATAGCTTCTGACAGGCACACAAGGAGAGCTCTGGGCTGCACATGTTTGAATATGTCAAGCGATACGTTACACAATTACACCCAAAAGCAGAAGCTCCAACAGAGGAAGTGAAATTTAAGAAAGTTAATCATTCATCAAAAGACATAATTGTGATTATGTTAAGCAGTGGTTATATGAGCCAGGTGGAAGGAGACTCATCTGCACTAAATTCGATATACTGTTTATTCAGCTTTGAGCTGTAGGTATTTTATTTTGGACTAAAATTACAATTTAGCCTTGAATTTACTTCTATTATTGTAAGACTATAATTACAGTACAACTACTAATACTATTACAGCTATTTACATTGTTGTTTTGTTGTTGTTGTTGTTGTTGTTGTTTTGTGTACTTCTAAAGCACTACCATAATTAGCATCATTACTGTCAGTGTTACTTAAACATAATAAATAGTTGCATACAAGACAAGTTATTTGACCTTTATAACCTTTGGACATTATACTATGATAAAATCATTTTGAGTTGCCCTTTAACATTGCTTGGTCAAAAGCTTGATTTGATAACATTTTCAAGTTAAATTTTTCATCACAATCTCTAATAATCTCTAATGTAAACAGTATTAGCTGGGCCAGCGGAGCATATCTTGCAGTGGCAAGGAGCTGACCCATGGTGGTAGGATTTAATTGACTGTAATTGTGGCCGACTGAAAAAAAGGCAATCAAAGCCAAGCAATTACAGGACAGTGGTGACCGGGCCTAAGGGCATGTGTGTGCATTCAGCAGCGTACAGGAGCAAGCATACAGACAGACATATGGGTGTGCACGTGAGCCTCATGCACACGCAAACACACACACATTTAGAGTGATACAGATCCAGCAGTCACCCACACGTTTCCTGTGTGTTTCATGTGCAATGGGCTTTTCTTCTTTCTTTTCTTTTTGTAGAGGAAGTACAGGCCTAATGACTTTTCCTATGCGTCACAAAGCCAGCATGTGGGAGGCAGACAGCCATACAGCACATGTGCTCATGTGCAAAATGTTATGCATTTATGTATGAGCTGCTGAGGAGCTTGACACATGCAGGTTTTTATGTATTTGTGTGAGCTTTTATGTGCGGCTGCTGTTGTGCCATTCTCCACGTCCACGGCTCTCTCTGTAAAACTAACTTTAAATCCCTTTAATGTGCTCACTATGCACTTAGAGACTCTTAAATTATTTTGTGTTGGAAACTTGGTATCTAAGGAGATAATGCATATGTATGACTGTGTGGAACTGATGTGGCCATATGCACTGAAAGCACTTGAGAATGAGACGCGTGGTCCTGTTATTGTATGTGCTGTGGTAAACAGCCTACCTCTGAGACCCCACACAGTTGGTAAAACTCACTGTTTGGCTGCTTTTATTTCTGCTGCTCACTGCATCGATCCCTCTCCATATTTGATCTCATCTGAGGATTAGTGCAGCGGTTCTGATCTATATCAGTAAATTATCATCTATTTATGATGGAGATTTCCAGCGCTGCTTCCCTCTGTGTTTCCACTTGTGCCCAAAGCATTTCTTCACTCTACAAAAGTGAACTTTTTGTTTTGGATGAAAAGTCATAATAATAATTTTAGATTTTCCACAAACTGTGCATTTTAAAAAACTTAGTCCTTTTTTTTTATCTTTTGTGATCATTAACACATTTCAACAAGGTAAATTACCCTCCAGTTTATATTTCACAAGTCATTAGCCGTGTCAATCTCAAAGTCATATTAAAAGACTCACTTTTAATGAGATTGATAAATCAAAGCAGTGCTCCGTGGCTGACTCATGCAGTGCTCTCTTCATACATTATCCTGTTCATTTAACAAAAACCCGTGTCAAACAATGAGCCGCCTTGCTTCAAACCAAATCTACAAGGGGTCTCCGTCATTCCTGCGGTTGCCATGGTGAACAGGGGTTAGTTAATCCCACATGGTCTGGTCCCGAGCTGCTGCTCCAGAGCACTTGCATGGTTCACGCAGGGCCAGTGAGAAGTGTTTTGCTCAAAACGAGTGCCCATTCACTCACCAAGGTTGGAGCTAAGCTATGAGCAAGTGACTATTGAAACCTGATTTTGGCCGAAATTAAAAACCAGAATCAGAAACAATTTTCTGATTGGATCCTGGGCCTTTGCTGAACTCTTTCTTCAAACTCATCAGTCCCCTTCTCTACCTTTGCTCCCAGTGCCAACTCTATCATGGCCCTGTCTGCGTCCCTGCTGCACAACACTGCACGCGGGCTTTTCCTTGTCACTTTCTCTATGTTCCACCTCACTCTCACTCTGCCCTCTGTGACTTTGTCCTCCTTTCATTCTCTGCAAACTACCTCATGCACAGTACATTTGGACTCTCCGCTGCATGTGGATTGTATAGTGTCTCTGTATTAAGAAGGCTCCCAGGGCATCAGGTGTATTTTCCTTTCAATTGAATATACAATATCTGGGACGATACTGTACTA